AAAACAATACAACCTTAGCTCTGATGAGCTATAAAACCGACACATAAAATGACATGCAGTTACACAATAAATATTTGGCAAAACATATTGAAAGATGAGCACTATCTAATAGAGAGGTGACATAAGTAGAGGTAAGCTTTAGCTAAAACATGTATAAAACTGTATTGTGAGCCTATGTGTTTTGTCTGCATGTGTTGCATTTGCATTTTGGCCCATACCAGTTGTTTATTAGTGTCTTAAATTGGGGTACAGTCGTTTCCGTACCCGGTAGTTTCGGTACTTCAAAAAGAAGATGTTTCGGTACTTTTTGTAAGTCGTTTCGGTACCTGTATTAAGTTGTTTCGGTACTTCCTTTATTAGTTAATAAATATTTCTCATTTGTTATTTATTGTTGGTTGTTTATTTAATGTTTGCTTTCGTAGTTGTTTAAACAATCACGCAGATCAGTCGATCATTGTCTTCGTACTTCAACCGTGATCCCACAACATACGCGATGGTTGTTTATTTAACATTTGCTTTTTTAACTGAGTAGCTCAGGGTAGCTCTTCAGGCGAAACTCAACGTTAATGGAATTCATCCAACTTGTCATAAAAATGAGGGTTCCACTATCAAATTCATCAAAAAACTCATGTCTTCGGCTGATACGTGTATTCAGTGTGACGGCCATTTTGGATGGAAATATCATTGTTATTGTTATGTGTTTTCTTATTATTATTATTCTTAATTAATTATTCTTAATACATTATAATACATGTTATATATATGTCCCGCTATACTTAGAAATTATTGAAATAATGGTGACGTTGACTTTAACTTGGTACCAAAATGTGTTTTCCATAAGTACCGAAACGACTTTCAGAAATATCGAAACGACTTTCAGAAGTACCGAAATGACCGGGTACCTAAACGACCTGAATTCCTTAAATTGTGTTAGTGTAGTTGTTCTGAAGTGGTCTGGTAGGGCATTCCATATTTAGGTGCTTCAGATCGAAATGAGTGTTTACCATACTTTGTAGTCCTAACATGTGGTACATTGTATATGTTCTTCCTGTATTACTAAGTTATGTTGGGAATCGGATGAGATATTATAATCGATTATCGGAAGACTTGTCATGAAATGATTAATTGATTATAATCAGTATATCAAAACTTTGGTCAATACATTGTCGTAGTGTAAAATATGAAACTATAGTATGCGGCTATCTTTACCTAATAACAATAGTACCTACTTCCGGCTTTATCATATATGCCATAACTTTCTGGTGCAAAATAGTGAGATCAGTGAATTTGGTCAAAACAGTGAGATTTTTCTCTGAATTAGTGAGAAAATCATGATCATGAGACATTTAACACAGAAATAATCCGGCATAGAATTATCTCATTTGTGTTATTCTGAAGCCAGCTCTTTTGGAACCAAAATCGGAGATTTATTGATATTTTAAAGGATTTAAGGATGAGGTTTACACATGGGTACGGTTCAGATATAGTTGTCAATATTTAAAAGTAAATATATCACAATACTTCCATCAAAGACAAATAATAAGAACGATTTTAAATTAAGACAAAATTCAAGAGGGATGTCCTTGTTAACCTAGGTTAGAAAAAAATATATTTCAAACATTGGGAATATTTAATCATCATTTGTTGAAGAAAAAATTAAACAGTACCTACTACTTCCATTATTTTTTATATCCAATATTTGAAGAAATTTGCTTTCTTGTGTTTATGTTATTTTTATTAGGTCACCTGAGCTTTAGCTCAAGTGACCTATTGCTATCCGTTTTCGTCCGTCGTCGTCCGTCGTCCGTCGTCCGTTAACATTTTACATTTCAAACTTAAAGTCAAGTTCTGCTGGGCCGATTGAACTGAAAGTTGGTAGGAATGATCGCCTCATGGTCCTGACAAAGTGTTGTTATTTTTCGGGTCGATCAGAAATCCAATATGGCCGCCACGGCCACCATTTTGAAAACCTATTTCAAACTTAAAGTCAAGTTCTGCTGGACCGATTGAACTGAAAGTTGGTAGGAATGATCGCCTCATGGTCCTGACAAAGTGTTGTTATTTTTTGGGTCGATCAGAAATCCAATATGGCCACCACGGCCGCCATTTTGAAAACCTATTTCAAACTTAAAGTCAAGTTCTGCTGGACCGATTGAACTTAAAGTTTGTAGGAATGATCGACTCATGGTCCTGACAAAGTGTTGTTATTTTTCAGGTCAATCATAAATCCAATATGGCCGCCACGGCCACCATTTTGAAAACATATTTCAAACTTAAAGTCAAGTTCTGCTAGGCCGATTGAACTGAAACTTTGTAGGAATGATTGACTCATGGTCCTGACAAAGTGTTGTTATTTTTCAGGTCGATCAGAAATCCAATATGGCCACCACAGCTGCCATTTTGGTAAACTATTTCAAACTTAAAGTAAAGATCTACTTGGCCGATTGAACTGAAACTTTGTAGGAATGATCGAATCATGGTCCTGACAAAGTGTTGTTATTTTTCGGGTCAATCAGAAATACAATTTGGCTGCCATGGCCGCTATTTTGCTACTAAGTTCTAATAGGCCGATCTCACTTAAAATTGGTCTAGGAATGATCAGCTCATGGTCCTGACAAAGTTAAGTTAACATTATACTATTTTTTACTCAAATTGGTACATATTTCAACAACAAAAATAAATACTATAGACTCAGGTGACCGTTAAGGCCCATGGGCCTCTTGTTAACACTTAGACCTATCCCTACAACAAGAAAATAAATTTCTGATTCCATGTCGGTGTCCGGTTTCGATTTTATAGACTCGACTTACATTTCCGTTTTGTTAAACCATGTTTTCGATTGTAATGAATTCCAACAAACAACTCTTATGTGGCTATTTTTAAAATGTTTATACTGTTTAACTGTCATCACATTAATTAGCAACTAGTCCCCACTGGACAGAGGATCTCTGATTTAATTGCTTAACAGTTCACACATCGTCGGACATGATGGCGAGCCATTCGCCACGAAATCGGCCAGCCATTCACAACTACTTTCACACCTAACTGTTAGGATATGCCTGGACTGTAATTTAAGTGTCTATTCTGTGATTTTAGACCTTTTGATGACCAAGGTCAGTGTGAATCCATTGAATTTCGTGAGAAATGTATGAGCCTACAACGACGCTTCAAACAACATGCTGGGCCGAAGAAAAAAAACTTTGGATACATTCCAGTTTTAAGTAAATTTAGCAATATTTTAGCAGTTTTCGATTATTGGAGATTGTAATGGAGAGCTTACTTTTTTACCAATATCGATCGACTTTCGACTTTGTTCGATTACTAGGACGGCTATGTGGACTCTCCTCTATGTCAGGATTGTAAACAATGGTCTGAAATAGCCTAGTAGTCTAATTTAACTCTGAAAACTCAAAATATCAACTTAGAGCCCAATAGACAGGTAAAAATATCATTCATTGAATTAACAAGTAGACCTTTCATGGTCCATTGACTTTGTCAGCATCTCCATCAACATTAAGTTTTTGCATTTAAGTTAGTTTCTTTGATATGTGCATTGATAGTCAAAGCGGGGCATAGGCGAGACCTATCAAATGTGAATGACTTGTAATACCTGCAAAATATTACTACATGGTAGAGGTCTGGAGAGGCTTCTTACCCCTTGGGATTGCCTGTAAAAATAATAAACTTTATCACACACAGCGTCTCATAATGTCTGCTCAAACAGTAAGTACTATATGCTAAAATACTTGTACAACAGGGGAAAAATGCTCTTAAAATTCTTTCATAATGATGCTTAGGATGAAAAATGGATCAAGTTTACGGGATGCTATGCCTAAGTGATGTCGGATGCCGGTTAGTCAATTGAGAGGTCCGAGAGGCCTCTCCAACCGACCAAACATCCGAAATGTCATGAAAAGACATAAGCTGTGGCCAAAATGGTTACCATATACTTTAATATATAATACAGGGTATTGGCTTAATGTCTATCAATCTGCCGTTGTTTTAAGCTTACAAAGTTAAAGAAACAGTGTAAGTAGTTTTGAGCCATTTGCATAGTCGGTTTCTAAAATGGAGATTTTGAGAGACGGATTAAACACAAAATTAACAGGAAAATTGTATGTCATTTCTACAATGTTTTGTATATGCAGTTGTAATTTTAACGATCAACATCAAAACTTGTGTACGAACACATTTCAGACTATAAAATGGACATCAGTGTTTAATAATTAGTAAAAGGCAGTCACACATGTACAGGCGAACACATGTACACAAATCGACTAGAGGGCCAAGACAGCGGTAGTTGAAATCAACACTGTTACAAATAACAAATATTTGTCATAGACTCGGTAATAAGTTGATTAACCTGAAAAAGAACATAAAGCCCATAAATCAATCAATTTATTATTTGATACTATATGGTATGTTAACCGAAAGTTAGAGATGTTTACAGCTAAGATTACACATGTTGGTTATAAAGAAGGCAGGAGGTTGCATACATGACATATAACCTAAACAGATCTTTGACCTGGTTTAAGAAATTCAAAGCCCATTTATGTTTTCTTATGCATTATACAAGTTGCTGAGAAGCAACAAAACAAATTAACAAATTTGGATTTTAAGTGGTTTGAAGTATATTTGCATGCCTTTCCAGATGCATCAAGTCATTCAAACAGTGTAACTTTAGTGTGCAATCATATATTTTTCCAAATTTCCTCAAAAAGCTTCTGTATTTTCCCAATCAGAAAGGTACAAGCAGCTATTAAATAATGGTATGGACAGTGCTCCCTATGGGCAGAGCTCTAATTAAGAGTGGGTGTATTAATTCAAATTTTCAAAATCCTATTTCTTCAGTACCAGTCATTAATAAAGGGATTTAATTCTGTATGCTGCATGTTATGATTATCTCCCAGCTATATTACTAAATTTTGCATTTTAATATTTGGTTTCATATATGCATTACTTCTTAATTATTGTGATGAGTTGTTATAATTTACTTTCAGCGGAATGTTGGAAAAATATTTTCAAAGTTTGGTGAAATCCAAGGAATTGTCGTAAAAGAACAGAGCAACAACCCACAGATCAGATATGCGTAAGTATTCTTTTTATACGCCCGTCAAATTTGACGGGATTATTATGGTATGGTGTTGGCCGTCCGGCGTAAACTTTTGTTTGTCCGGCAATCTCCTCCTACATTTTTCGACCGATCTCTTTGAAAATTATAATCATGATATGAAGTTGTGTCTCCCTTAAAAGAATTTTGATGCGACCATTTTTTCTAAAGTTATTGCCCTTTGTTCATTTCAGTATTTGATTTTTGTCCGTCAATCTCCTCCTACATTTTTCAACGGATCTCTTTAAACTTGGTATACATTATAATCGTGATATGAAGTTTTGTTTCCTTGAATAGAATTTTGATTCAACAATTTTTGCAAAAGTTATTGCCCTTTGTTCATTTCAGTATTTGATTTTTTTATCTGGAGATTTTCTTCTACATTTTTATAGCATGTCGGCTAACCACTCTTTGAATGGTGCAGATCTTATTTCAATGTAAGAAAGTATGTAACGCTATATGGCATTCGACGGGCGTATATTGTTCCGCCCCGTGGTACTCTTGTTTATATAATATTAGAGGTGCTAACAGTTATCAACATTTCTCGTGTTTAGTCCAGATTTCTTTGTCCTTTTCCTTTTTATTTCTGATAATGGTATTCCTCCCTTCATTTGAAAACAAAATGTATAGCTGCTATACCATAGAATTATGAACAAGTGGTGTTTTGATTAATCAACTTTGTCAACTATTGGTCATTTTTGTCAATTAACTGATTAATCAACTACAGAATTCTTGATTGATTATAGTCATTATAATTGTGTTTTATAGATATGGAGTTTGCAGTAGAATGACTCATGGTATTAAAGCTTATCTTCAATTGTTAGCAACAGAATATTTATTTCCAAACTTTATTTTAAAAGAACTTTGTTTCTTCATACGTCAAATAAATGTAAATGAGTGGTTGAAAGTTTAAATGTGCAACTCCACTGGGATAATAGTTAGAAATTCCTAAGAAAGTGATGGTTTTCAATTGTTTTTATTTTAAGCCATCTTCTTCACATTTCTCTACATTTTTCCTCGAAATTTCATCAATTACAATTTTGTTGATGTACCATCTGTTGTAGCTTTGTGAAGTACCTGTGTGAACCTGATGCTGAAAAAGCTTGTTCAGAGCTAAATGGACAAGAGGTACAAGGGAAAAAAGTATCAGTCCGACTTCAGGAACAAAGAAAAGGGTAGGTTAATGGTACCACACATTTCTATATGCCTATCAAAGACTGATCATATAATGGTATTACTTTATATCTAGAGTCCATCAACTTATTCCTCATATTTTGATGAAACATAATTCAGATACTCTTCCAAATAAAGTGTGAATGGGTTAAGAATTTACCTGGCAATCTTAACAGTTTTGTTACCAAGTTTTAGCGTGGCTAAATGTTAGTGTTCTATTTCATAACTGGGGAAAAATACCCATTGTATTTTTTGCACCACTGAGCTTTTGAAATATATTTTGCAGGGCAATAGGCTTAAAAAGGTTTTGCCTGATCATTGATTGCTTAAAAGAGCTCCATAATGAACATCAGCTCAAATCACAAAACATCTTCCCCCGGCAGTGTTCACATGTTTAGGTTTTCCAACTGAATTGTCATTTAATTAGTTATTTTTGACATCATAACAAACATTTTGGTACCGTTAGTGTGGTGATGCCATGCTCAAAACTATTTGTATGATGCTCTTGATATCTCATTAAAAAAGTAAAACAAACATAAAAATCTGGAGTAGGTATTTCATTTAGTATCTCGGGTATTACTATGCATGATCATACTTTCTTGAAAAATTGATCAAATAACAAATAAGGTATGCAAATGTTTAGAAATATTTGAGACTGGCAAAAGTTAACAAAAGGAAATTTCAGATGTATTGGGTGTCCAGCTAAAAGTGTTTTATTGTCAGATTTAAGTTTTGGTCTTCTATTAGCATCTAACTGTCCCTTGAGGATTGGACAAGTTTTACTGGTCCTGGCATAAATCTACAGCCGGCTAGTTGACCTATACCACTAGATTGGGAGGAGGAAGTTCTTCACATTGTTACTGTCAAAACCTAATTCATTTGAAAATCAACAGATGAAAACATAGCTGTCTTCTCAGAATTTCCAAAATGCCTTTCTTCAACATGTTATCAAATGCAAATTATACTTGCGTGACATTGTATTCAAAGACAAGAAGTATGTTTACCAAATCCTATTTACATTTAAGTGCAATTCAGATAACATAAACAAAGGAAAAAATCGAGCAGTACAGGCCATCAGGTCTCTTTTTATATTTGAAAAAGCTATGAAATTGTTGGAACACCTCTTTTGCAGTAGACCTATTGGGCAAGGAAAAGATGCCAACAGTTTACAACACCGTCCCCCAGGTAGCCGCATTTCAAAGACCTCACAGCCTGATATTGGTAATTTGTTCAATCTAAAGTAATAGATATTTGAGACATGTGTTTTAATTCTTCAAAGTCTGATATTGAAAATTCATAAACTTAAAATTTCAGTTCATTGTCTGATTTTGCAGTTACAATTGATGATAGATTTCAAATCATTAAAAGGAAAATTTAATGTGTAATTTCCACATGGGTAAGTCTACACCTCCCAATACTGATGATTGAAAAACCAAATTGATTTTGCATGGGGTTTGTGCTGTCACATGGCAAACCTTAACAACCGAATATTGATGATTGTTTGAAATAAATCAAACTTTCTTTATGTTAAAGAAGAATTCAATAATTATGTAAAATTCACAATTCAGACTGTATTTGGCTGTTTATGCTGTATGTATTGGTAAATTCTGCACATCCATCAATTAGGTAGATTTCCCAAGTAACCCCTCCCCCTGGTTCTCAAGAGAACTACAAGACTACAAGATTTGCGCTCTGTCCGTCTGTCCCAATAGTTTTTCCAGGGCAAATCTTCCACAAATTGGTATGCAAGAACATCTTGGAATGGTGAAGTGTCATGTACAAAAATAGGTCACCGTGACCTATGGTTTGACCTTTGATCTCAACTTTTTTTAAAGTTTGTCTGGGGTATATTTTCTATACCATTTTACCTAGAGCATACAGATTTGGTATGAAAGTACATCTTGACATGGTGGAGTGTCAAGTACAAAAATAGGTCACTCTGACCTATGCTTTGGCATTCATTTTAGCCCACCACACCTTCTTGTCGCCACTTGGAGCCCTGAATCCTTTTTAACAAGAAAAGTTTTGATAAGATGACAAGAATTTTCTGATAACTGTGAATAAATTGTGGATTGCTGTGTTGAGTAGATGTATCATAGCTTTACATGTTCATTTGATATTAAATGGAAAGAAACAACTTTTCATTATAACTTCAAAAGCTATTTTATATCAAATATTGTTTAACTTTATTTCTTCATTTGTTACAGTTCCTGAAGGTGCGGATTCTGACAATATGTCCAATACTGGAAGTACTGGCAGTAACTATAATGAGGTATTTAAAATTTCTGATGTGTCTGCCCTCCATGGATTTAGGGTCACAGGTCGTCAAGGTCACAGAGGCTTTTATTAGACTAAGATTGTGGGAAAATGTTGGTGTTTGGAAACTATCTCTTGAATATAAAACTGGACATATGTCCCCAAACCAGGATCTTATTCAGGCAGCATGTGTTGGTTATATTGACATTTCACACGTTTTTAATTATTTTTAAGTGTATGATTTTGTTTATTATGTAGAATGCAGTTGTTGTAGTGTGTTTTCTAGAAGATGTAATTGTTGCATCTTTTTTATACTTCATAGAAGGAGTCGGTGATGGTTACCTTTGTGGAGAGCTGTGTAACAGTCTGGGTCCAAGTCGTCAACGAAGAAAATACAAATAAACTGATGAAAATAACTGATCAGTTGGCTGCATTGTGTCCAGCAGCTTCTAAGGTCAACGACTCACCTCAACAATCAAAGGTCATTAATTTATATTAATATTAGAAATGACATACATATTGCTTTCTTGGTCTCGTTAATATTTTTAGTGCCAAAGATTTGTTAGCACAATTTTTTTCCTTTTCCTCAACATATTTCAGTTTTATAGGTGATCTTATTGCATTCTAAGATGTGAACTGATCTATTCAATATCTTTAAAACATTTACACATTTCAATTTAATTGCAGTGTCCCTTTTCTTTTTGATAGTCACATTCCATCAGCATAAAATTGCCTATGTCTGTAATATGTTAAAGTTTTTTAGGTCACCTGAGACAATGTCTCAAGTGACCTATTGCGATCACCTTTTGTCCGTCGTCGTCCGTCGTGCGTCCGTAAACAATTTACATTTTCGACTTCTTCTCCAAAACCCCTGAACCAATTTCAATGAAATTTTGCAGGGACCTTCCATGGACAAAGGTCAACTAACATAGTGGCCGGTTTAGTCCCAAGCCCCCAGGGGCCTGAGGGGCGGGGCGGGCAAGGGTCAAATTGACTAAAATTTCAAAAATCTTCTTCTC